GTAAACACTCTATTATCTATAGACTTTGAGATATTATATTTTATATTTTTGATATATACTCTTTAAGGGAAGTTAAACAGAATCGCCGGAACTCAACGATAACCAACATCCTCATTTTATTTGTTTTCATTAATTGCTGCGAAATGAATTGTCGGCTAATCAGTGATAAGCTCTGTGTCTATCAGCAATTAGTTGGTTGTGTCACCAGCAATTAGAGTTGTTTTATTTTATTTTGTTAAACAAAAGATAAAAATTTATTTTTTTTTATGCAGATTTAGAGGTATCGTTATCATTCTGTAGACATAATATCGGCCGTGCAGTAAATTTTATCACTGTTTTTGTGCTTTAAATTTAGCAGGGGATGTATCACTGTATAGTCAGACACCTGTTAGCTCTGCTCTCACGCTCGCGTCACAACAGCTTTTAGAAACTATACGCGGCATTACTTTTTTATAAAAACTGCCGACTTATGCTCGGATTTATGTAAAAAATTACTTCTTGGCTATTAAAAATTTAATTTTTTTAAGAAAATTTTAAGTTGGAAATTTTAAAGTATAAGGTTATAGAAATTGGAATTTTTTGAGTGAAAAATTTTTTAACCCCTTGATAATAAATTTTCTGTTGAGGAAAATTTTGAAAGAAAATAAATTGAAAATTTTATAGACCTCATAAAAATAAAAAAAAATAAAAGTTTACAAAAATGAATTTATATTAATAATAATTGATTTTATTTTAGAAAATTTTTAGAATTTTAATTGAAATTTTTTTCTACAAAAAAGTTTTTAAATTATTCATATATGCTCGGCCAATATGCATTTTCTTTAATTAATGAAAAATTTCATTGTTTTTTTGTAAGAAAATACCAAAAAAATTCGCGAAAAATTTTGTAAGCTTCTTAAAAATAAGAAAAGTAAAAATTGACAAAAATTAATTGCAGTAGATTTTTAAAAATTTTTATTAAATTTTAGCATTAATTGAAATTTTCGTTGACAATTAATTAGAAGCAAAATTTAACATTATGTTAGTTATCAATTTGTTAGAAACAACATATTTAATTCGAGTGAATAAAAAACACTGGAAAAAAATGAATTTGAATTTTAAATAATTTTTCAATTTTTCGCTCAAAAAAAATTTCAATGATGAAAAAATTTGATATGAACTTACGTTCAAATTTTTAGCAATAAAAAATTTTCCAAACAAAAAAACTAACTTCGAATTAACTAAAATAATTCGTAATTTTTAATTTTACTTTCATATTAAAAAAAAAAAGAAAAATAATCTTTCAAAAAAAAAAAAAACTCAAAATAATTTGCTCAAATAAAATTTTTTTCCACATCCATTTTTTCCACATTTTTATCCAAAACTAAATATTTAATGTAATAAAAAAACAGACGTCACTCGTAGAAACAAAATGAAAAATAAAAATGAAACTTACCAGTATGACCTTGTAGAGAAAAATTAGCTTCTTCGCTGGGCAACACAGTCTCTGCGAGTATGTTATCAGACGCAGTTTTCACTACTCCCATAGCGCGACCCCACAAATAAATAATAAAAATAAATTTCCTTATGATAAACTATTAAAATCAAAAATAAATAAAAATGAACTAGTACCAGTATTTTTATTCGGTAAAAGTAACAAGTGACAAAAAATCCTTAACTCGCGATAGTTATAATTCCTTTTGATGGATAACGTGTGAGTCCACGTTCGGAAGAGTGGAGCGGACGATGCCGCCTCTAGAACTGGATTGCCGTCGACGCGTCGTCTAGCCGCTATGGTGATAAAGGATGCGAATAGAAGCAGCAAGGGCTGTACACAAAATACTCCACCGGGTATAGGCTTACACACACAGACTAACACAAAAGTAGGTAATGTGTAATGTGTCTTCATGGATATGGATGCGCGTCTGCGTTCTGCGTTTGCGCCTGCGTTTGGTTTCACCGGTAAAAATCCCATCGAGGGTGAATCTGAGGGAGATGTGAGTGCCGGTGGAACTGAGGACCTAGACGTAGCTTCTGTTTTGCTCTACAGATAGCAAAAGGGAAAGGAAAAAGAAAAGGGATAGAAGATACATTTAAAACGGGCATGCAGGAGTCGAGGTTGAGGCTGAGGCTGTGGCAGGAGACAGAGGTTGCTATGACGCGGTCAGGTCTCCTAGAATATAGTACAGGGCAAAATAACGGTATAGAATAGAAGAGAAGAGAAGGGCGATGGGGTTTTGAGCTGATAATGTCGCGGAGCAGCTAACAGCATAAATGGGGTGCGGCAACTACACCAACAGGGGCAATGTCGAGTAACTGGGTCTCGGTGAAGGTCTTAACTACATCCCCTGGCTATTACGTATGTCGCGTGTCAGCTTTATACCTTTTATTTTATTTTGTTTATGGTTTTTTTATGGTTATTTTTATCTCAAGAGCATTGATGTATGTCGGTCACTCCGAATGACATTGAGCAGAAAGTCATTAAGGTGGTTTTGTTGAATGGAGGAATTTTTTTTTTATTAAAATTAGGGAAAAAGTTTTTTTATTTTGTGCCAAGTACTTTTTTGGCACCAAGTATTATCAGTGCCAAGTACCTGGCAACTATTTTGTGTAATAAGATGCCAAGTATTATTATGTAATGAAATTTTAGTGTAAATTATATTTTATGTAAGTTTGTGCCAAGTAATATTCCGAGTCGAAACTTGAATCGTAAGTCGAGCATATTAAACGTTGGAATCGTTGTATTGGCGGATGTATTGGCGTTGAAAAAGTAAATTCAACGTTTTTGCAAACAAAAAAATTTTAATTTTGTTTTTAATAATTATCATCCAATTAATTGAGTAAACATCTAATCTTTTTATAATAAACATCCAGTTTTTCAGACATCCGATATTTTAAGACTTATTAAGAAATTCTATATATATAACCTTTCTGAATTTCCGTCGAAATTCGAATTTTTTTTTTAATATTTATTTTTTACAAAATTTTAATTTTTATTAAAAAAAAGTTTTTTCGAAATTTGATTATTTGTCAAAATTTAAATTTTTGCACATAAAAAAAATTAGGAAAACGGTTGACCCTGAAGGCCATCCCGGCAACATCCCGGCAATTCTATACCTAAACGCTTGAAATTGCAGTTATGACGTTTTTAAGCTCTTCGAGCTCATAAATACAATTTGTGTATTATTTTGAGCTCTCCGAGCTCAAAAAAATAGCTTTTGTATGCTTTTGAGCTCTTCGAGCTCAAAAGTTTGATGGAAGTTTGATAAAACACTATTTTTTTAATTTTCAAATCGCAATAACTTTTGAATGAATGAACCGATTTTCACGCGGTTGAAGGTATTCGACGCAGTTTTTTAAGCTTCGTAAAGAATCTTCAAGTTTAAATTGATATAACGAAAAATTTCGGAGTAATTCCAAAAAACACTTTTTAACTTCCCGCTAAGAAAATCGGGAAGTCATTGTTTTCACCCCGTTTTGCAAAAATCGAGTTTTCATCAAAAAAAACCCTTGTAAAATATTAATTAATTAACTTTTTTATACATCGGTCAACTAATTGGTGACTGGTCAACAACTGGTGCATTTACCTTAATAAATTTATTACTATCTAAATTTTTTTTAAATATGAATTAAATAATGAAATAAAAAATTTAAGACCTGCAAAAAAGACAAAAAAAATTTTAATAATTATATTAAAAAATTATATCAAGCGCTAGATAGTAAATTTAATTGAAAAAAAAAAAAAAAAAAAACTATAAGTTGATAATAATTTTTTTTCTTAATATTATTCTCTGGAGAAAGAAATTTTACTGGCATTGATACTCTCTCTACTTCAATATCAATATCAATTCAACCTTTACTTCTACTTTTATCATCTCTTGGTTTTACAATTTTCCAATAGTGCTTTACGGCGTATTACCCGTAAAATGAGACTGTCGTCTTTGAAAAGATGAGTAATGAAAACATGAAGAATCGTCTTTCACTCCTACTATACACCATGGATTGACTCGCGTTATTGTAAAAGCCACAAAAAAAGTATCGAAGAAGAATGTAACTTTAAAAAATAAAAAAAAAAAAAAAACTAAATAATATATAAATACAAAGAAAACACATAAACAGGTGGATGACTTGTAAGATAAGAAATATATAAGGTAAAAAACAATCTTCAGAAGTATATACGTATAATCTCTACTCGGAGTTTCATTTAAAAGTTCTCAAAGAGAAAACTAAAAGATACTTTAACTTTAAATGAAATTTCAAAAAATCACAAGCCAAATGCAAACGTTGCCAGGGGAACGGGAACTTTTAGTATAAAATTACGCGAAACTTTTACGATGAGAAAATATTTAATATAATTTTACTTACCTAACGACATGAGTACATAACTTTTTAAATTGCGAATATTTTCATGGCACAAAAGAATCTTTAACTTTTAGTTTTAATAATTTATTGTTGAAATTTATTAATTTATTTATTTGCGCGACTTAAATTCTGATTAAAATTTTATCTTTATTAATATTTTATTCGGTCTGTTCAGAAATTTAGTCGATTTAATGTTAATTATTCACGATAAAATTGATATAAATAATTTAATCTCTTAATTTCAACATTGCTGTTTAATTTCCAACAAAAATTATTAATAACTGACCTGGAAATTTTCTATTAAAATTTAAATATTTTATTACATAAATTTTTTATCGTTAAAAATGGTAAGAATAAAGTGAAGTAAGTAAAAATCTTTTAGAACGCATTAAAGCCATGTTATGGAATCGTAAATAAGAATAAGAGGATACAGTACAAGTGGTTACAAATGAGCGAGCAATAGGATTGATTTAAAATGCCGAATAAAGAAGAAAAGTCGGCTTTTTTATTTTATACGAATGACCGATGCAGCACGCGGAATAATATTTGTCAGTTCATATATATTTAAAAGTAAAGCATTCTTGTCAATAAAATAATTTTCACCTCTTTACTGAAAAAAAATAGTCATTGGCAATAAATTAATTTGTAGAAAATTTTATTTATTTACTAAAGAAATAAAAATTTTTCTTAAAAAAAAAAGTCTTTTAATTTGCAAAAATAAAAATTTTAAATAGACAATTTGCAAATTTTCTTCCAAAATTTTTCTCAAATTTAGAAAATTTTTTTTTAATAAAATTTTTTCAGCAAAAAAATAATACTGAGAAAAAAAATGTATTTTTAAAAAAATGGTCATTAAAAATTTGTCTTAAAAAAAAAGTTTTTTAATTTGCAGAAATAAAAATTTTAAATAGACAATTCGCAAATTTTTATCTAAAATTTTTCTCAAATGTAGAAAATTTTTTTTCAATAAAATTTCTTCAGCTAAAAAATAAAATTATTCAAAATTAATTTTTTGTTAGATTTTTTTCAAAATAATTTTTTTTTTTTAGTGCAACGCAGCGTCGGTAATGGCTTTAGTGATATATAAGTGAAAAAATAACTCAAACCTTACTTGAGATGTTATGTAGTGAAGAATCAATACGTCATTTAGCATGTTACCATGGCAGCCCGACTATCGTTTATAGATTGATGTGTATGCATCATTCTACTTACTTTCCTCATCTATCACCCTTAATTTATGCTGATGATACCTTACCTTTTCCAAAAAAAATTATTCGCTTTTAATATTTACAATTTATTGCAATAAAATAGCTTATTATATCGGTCGCATCTGGATCAAATCAAACTTTACTGTGCAATAACTTAGAGTATCATTTATCGCCTGTCTTATACTGATATCATATATGTGGATAAAGTATACCAGCAAACAATGTTTTACAAATAAACCATATAGTTGATGTAGGTAGTAAATTGGTGAGATTATAGTTTTAAGCCGCTTATGGACGAGTTTAGTCTCTGGCCAGTTAGTTGGATCAGTTTGAATCACAATTCCTCTATCCCAAGTACAAAATCTAGAGCTTTATCGTAACACTAACTCAATAAACAACTTTATCCTTTAATTACGATACTCTCTTGAAATTCATAATTTTTTATTTTTTTATTTTTATGAAAAAAATTATAAAAATTAACGATGAATGGAAAAAAATTTTACTATCATTTTTTTCAAGTTTATATTAAAATTTTGATTTATTAAATAATGACTTTTGTTAAATTGTACTTTAATTTCTTAAATATTGACTTTTTTTAAGATACAAGCTCATTCCGGTGTTACACTCGTCAAGAGCTTTCATTTGAATACCCACATGCATTTTGATATATTTTTCATATATACATATATATAAATATATAAAATATATGAAAAATTGATGAGGGTACTCAAATGAAAGGTCTTGATGAGTATAACATTGGAATGAGCTTATATCTTCAAAAATGTTAATAGTTCACAATATACAAGGTCATTTCTTAAATATGCTCTGTACTTTCTTAACTATTGACATTTTTAAAGATATAAGCTCATCCCGGTGTTACACTCACGAAGAGCTTTCATTTGAGTACCCACATGCATTTTGATATATTTTTCATATATACATATATATAATATATATAAATATATGAAAAATTGATATGGGTACTCAAAT